GTGAGTCCCCGGGTCTGCTTCTAGAGCCTTCCACGCACGCCCCGCCCTGCCGCCCCTCCTCTGGCGGGCGCCTTTGTCCGCAGCGCCCACGGGTCTCCCGCGGGAGGGCGCACCCGGAGTCCCGGATCAGCCTCTGGTCCGCTCCCCTTTGTTGCGCGGCGGCCTGGGCGGGGGGCGGGGTACGGGGGCGGGGCGGGTTCGAATTACTGCTGACCGTGCGGCCGGCTGCACACGCTCGCGGGGTCGCCTGGCTTGAGCGCCTGTTTTTCCAATTGCAAAGTTGGTCCTCGGGCTCCGGGTCTGGAAATAGGCGAGGAGCCTGGCGTATACACTCGCGCCCAGCTGTTGCTCGCGGGGGCGTTGTCCCCCGGGGCCAGATGGCGACTGTGGACTGTCCTCTCTGTTTGCGCGCCCGCCCCGCGGCGAGCCCAGACCTTAAGCCTTAAGGTAAGGAAGGCTTAAGGTAAACATTCAGCTGTGTTGGTTCGTGTGGCTGTCACCTCTGCCCACAATATTACGTGCGTGCACTTTCTAGAAACATTGAGGTTTTCTTGGGAAACAAAACTGCCCATTGTGATGGTTGACTCGTGGCCACACCTGCGCGTGCTTGGCCAGCTGTGAGCTATTCCCTGGCTTCGCTCTGACCGCTTCAATACCCTGTGATGACGTTGTCCATGGCCGAGCTGAGGCGGGTTTGCCACTCGGATCACCTGCGGAACGCAGACACACCCCTCGCTGTAACGCAGCAGCCTAGGCCTGAAGCTTTCCCTTAATGTTGGAAGCTGCTTCTTGGGGTCCTCAGATGCGTCCCTTCCCCACAGATGTGGCTTGGCTTTGCCACAGCAAGTCAGACATGCGTGGACGCGAACTTAACTTAGGAGCTGCACTTAACGGAGTCCCTAACTGTGCTCTTCACTACCAGTGTGTTCCCTGCTGCTGTGGGCATACAGGTGTTCGTGGGGTGCAGGCAAAAACAAATCATGAGCATTGCAGTGGTTCCCCCCACCTCACACTTAAATAGTCGGGGATTCCTTTTGAGTGCCTGATTTTCATTTAGGCCCGACTGTGGTGGCTCACGCACTGACACGTGTGAGCACTTGTAGTGTTGTCTCAGCACACGTTCAGGCCAGGCGTTTGCTGTAATCCGGAGGGCTTGGTGCTGCAGGGCTATGCTCATCCCGAAGGCCCCTCAGCAGTGTTAACTGAAGGCCTAGGCTGGTCTGCTACTTAAGACGCCGGGAGAACACGTTCTGGTTTGTCATCACGCAGGGTATAAAGGCCTCATGAGCTTAGACATGAGCATCGGATGCCTTCGCGATTATCAGAAGGGTCTTCGGCCTGGAGGCACACACGGGTCTGTTTGTTCAAAGGCTGGGCCAGGACCCCGCTTGTTTTTTGGAAATGTTTTAACTGAAAAGTTTAGCTTGCATCCTGGGGTGGGAGGAAGGGAGAATGTGTGGCTTTGCTTAGCAACATCATTCAGCATTCATTCAGGTCAAATGTTTTGGTGCAAAGTAGCCTCTGGGAGTCTCCCCATTTTTCTCCAGGATGGTCTTTTAACTTGATGTCTAGTTTATGTCTCCTTGGGGTTCTCAGGGAAGGCCGTCCTTTGTGTGAGTCTCCTCTTGGGGGACAGTGGCCTTAGGGTGGCTCTGAGCTGGGGCCTGGATGCAGCCCACAGCTTTCTGACAGTGGTCTAAGGGCGAGAATGCCAAAATGGTTGCTTTGAGGTTTTGACTTACGGGGAAGGGATTGGAACTCGGAGTGTGTACCTGGAGACTGAGTCTGGACCTGAGGATGTCCCCTCTGGGAAGTGTGCAATGGTCTCGCTTTAAATGACCTCAGAATTCTCCTCTCTGCTGCAGGAAGGTGCTCGAGTCTTTGGGGCCCTAGGGCCTATTGGGCCGTCTTCACCTGGGCTCTCTCTTGGGGGACTTGCAGTGAATGAGCACCGGCTCAGCAACAAATTGCTGGCCTGGAGTGGCGTGCTGGAGTGGCAGGAGGTGAGCCTGACTGGGTCCAGAGGCCTGGGCCAGTGGAGGGTGTGGATGGCCTGGGCGCTGGCTGAGTCCCCCCTCCCGCCTGCAGAAGCGTAGACCCTTCTCGGATTCCACAGCAAAGCTGAAGCGCACCCTGCCCTGCCAGGCCTACGTGAACCAGGGCGAGAACCTGTGAGTGTGGGAGTGGGCAGAGCCCGGGGCAGCCTAGGATGCAGGGAATGGCTTCTGATGCACTCCCTACTGCAGGGAGACGGACCAGTGGCCCCAGAAGCTGATCATGCAGCTCATCCCACAGCAGCTGCTGGTGAGACCAGTGGGACTGTGCCCCCAGAACCCACGCCCTGCCCCCACAGCCAGACTTGCTCCTCAGGATCTTCCCACGCTTGCCTTACCATGATCAGTGGTGCCCTTGTCATCCACAGACCACACTGGGCCCCCTCTTCCGAAACTCTCAGCTGGCCCAGTTCCACTTCACCAACAGAGACTGTGACTCGCTCAAGGGCCTCTGCCGCATCATGGGCAACGGCTTCGTGAGTGGGGATGGGGGCCAGTGCGGTGGGACCGAGTTCTGCCCTGTGATGGGAGTCGTCTTGTACCTCTTAGTGGTCATCCCAGGATCTTGGTGGGGGGGCTAAAGCAGCGTGCGCATAGTGCTCCCAGGTGCTCCCAGCTGCTGCCTTGCTTCTCAGGGTTGCGTGCGTGCGTCTGTCTGGTGGTGGTGGTGGTGGTGGTGGTTGGCAGTATCCTTGCCATCTGGTGACCAGCCCCTACTATTGTGGACCCAGTCTGAGGTCCCTGGACTGGAGCAGGTGGCGGGACAGGATGGAAGGAAGTCACCAGCCCGTGCATGCTGAGGACTAGACTCCAGACTCATCCCCAGCTCTGCCTTAGTCTGGTTTGCCTCTCCCACTCGACCACGTCCACGGATCATATCCCTTTCTGGGCCCCACAGACTTGGGACATGTGAGGCTGCAACCTTGTGCCAGCAGCAGCTCTGGGATAGTATTCTGGAGCTGGGCCCAGGGTCTGGAGAATGAGTGCAGAAGGCTGGCCAGTGAGGTAGAGGTTCTTCTACATCCTGGCTCAGGATTGGGTGTCCTCCCATTGAAGAGGGAGGACTGGCATCTCAGCTGTGGTTGTGTAGTGACAGCTACGTCGCAGCCACTGTGTATGCAGTTGCTGTGTCTTACAGGTGGGGACACTGGGATCCTAACAGGGGAGGTGGCTTTCCTTGAGTGACACAGCAGCCTGGCCTGCGCCTGTTCTTTAAAAATTTAAGGTCTTTTATGGTATGTGTGTGTGTCATGAGTATGCCTGGTGCTGCAGAGACCAGAAGAGGGCGTCAGATCCCATGGGACTGTATGGAAGACTGAACTGGGAACCAAACATTGGTCCAAACAAGAACAGCCAGGTGCCACTGCTGCACCTTCTCTCCAGTCCCTGCCAGCTGCTGTTAACCCAGCAGCAAGGTTGGGGTTGGTAGAGAAGGGAGGGATACAGCCATATAGGTCCTTGGGATGAGGAGGTAGCAGTGACTCATCTGCTTTTGGGAAAACCTTGATTGAGCCATGTTTTGGTGCCCTGGCCTATCCGAGCAGGTCAGACATTGAGTTGGAGGGCCAGGCCCTGATCTGCAGCCCTGTCCCCACAGGCAGGCTGCATGCTCTTCCCCCACATTTCTCCTTGTGAGGTGCGCGTGCTCATGCTCCTGTACTCATCCAAGAAGAAGATCTTCATGGGCCTCATCCCCTACGACCAGAGTGGCTTTGTCAATGCCATACGGCAGGTCATCACCACCCGCAAACAGGTGTGCCAGCTGGGTGCAGCCTGGCTCTGGTCCCACAGTTGGTATAGCATCTACATTTGGATGGAATGTGATGAAGGCAAGAGGGAGGAGCACCAGGGAGCTGGGAGGAGATAGTGGCACGTCCCGACAGGGCTTGGAGGGGAAGGGAGTTTATAGGTTTTGAAGGGTACAGGGGATGACCGACCGGGGGTGGGTCCTGAATGTAGAATTCTCTGCGGAGCAGGAGTGTGTTGGCAAGAGGCCCAAAGTCTCTAGGGTGACCTGTGTCTTGACACCTGGCTTTCCATTGTTCATGGGGTTCACCTGCTAGCTGCTAAAGGTAGTTGTGGGCCTCCACACCACCCAGGGGCTGAGACTTATCTTGGGTCACTTGGGAGCACAGAATCTTGGCAGGTTCTGTCAGGACCAGGACCAGGCCTTGGCCTTCTTGGATTGTGGTTAGGGCTGCAGCCAGCTAGTGAGAAATTAGAAGTTGAAGCTGCTGGCAGCAGCTTGTGTACTGTCCCACAGGCCGTGGGCCCTGGAGGCGTGCACTCTGGACCTGTTCAGATTGTCAACAATAAATTCTTGGCATGGAGTGGTGTCATGGAGTGGCAGGAGGTGAGCTTGCGGGGGTGGTGTGTGCTGTTGGCCCACCCCTTCCCTCCCCTGAAGTGTCCTCTTGCTTTGCCCCAAAGCCCAGGCCTGAGCCCAATAGCCGGTCCAAGCGGTGGCTGCCATCACACGTCTACGTGAACCAAGGGGAGATCCTGTGAGTGGGGTGGGCAGGCGAGTGGGCGGTCCAGGCTCCTGGGGAGACCTTATGTCTGATAGCTGCTGTCTGGTGTGGCAGGAGGACGGACCAGTGGCCGCGGAAGCTCTTCATGCAGCTCATCCCGCAGCAGCTGCTGACCACCCTTGTGCCGCTGTTCCGGAACTCGCGCCTGGTACAGTTTCACTTCACCAAGGACATGGACACTCTCAAGAGCCTGTGCCGGGTCATGGACAATGGCTTCGTGAGTAGAGGGCCTGCAGCTGCACCAGGGCCTCCTAGGTTTGCACGTTCGTCCCCTCCCTCCCCCAGCCATCTATGGAGAACTGGGGCACCAGGCTAGTCACTATATAGAGACTGTGTCAGCAGGCGTCTGCCTTGTGACAGCCCCCTCCCCACCACTGCATGCTGTTCAGCTTGGCTAAAACTCCCAGAGAACTTGGGAGGCCTGTAGCTCCCCAGGGCCAGTTCCTCCTGCTCTGGGGCTTTGCTTTCCCTTTGTAAGCAGGTGATTCTTGAGCTGGAACCCATGAGGAACCTCAGGACATGGGGGGTGGGGCTTGGGCTTGGTTATTGGAACTGTTAACATACCCAGGGTCTCTTGGGATTTTTTTTCAGTGTAAAGGAACAGGGCTCGCTCAGGGTGGGCCACATGCCTGGCAGCTTTAGACCCTTAGGACCTGCTTTTAGGGATCCCAGTTTGTAACTGAGGGAGTGCGTAGATGAGTGTCCTGACTTGGGCCTGCTGTTAGGCGGGCTGTGTGCACTTCTCTTATAAGGCCTCCTGTGAGGTGCGCGTGCTCATGCTTCTGTACTCCTCGGAGAAAAAGATCTTCATCGGCCTCATCCCACACGACCAGAGCAACTTTGTCAACGGCATCCGTCGCGTCATTGCCAACCAGCAGCAGGTCCTGCAGCGGAGCCTGGAGCAGGAGCAGCAGCAGCGAGGGGTGAGGTGGCTCTGCCATGCGTGCACTCATGGGCCCTGCCCCTGGGTGCCCACTTCTGACCCTCCCTGGCTTCTCTCTCTGCAGATGGGCGGCTAGTGCACGCCCAGGCTGGGTGGGCCAGTCCCAGACGAGGCCCGGTGGAGATCGGTGAGCAGCACTTGTTTTCCCAGGACGCAGCAGGGTGGCCCTGGCTGTAGGGAGACCACTGCATGAGGCACTGCCTTCTGGGACCTGTGTCCCTGGCAAGTATGGGTGCCTGGGGTGGGGTGCAGTCTCACGAGTAGAAGCCACCCCCTCCTACTGCCTCCCAGGTTAGATGCTTCTGAGCAGGGGCTCCTGGGGACTGTACCTGCCCAGCTACCTGGAGGACAGCGTCCTGAGGTCTCCAAGGATGGTCCTTGCCTCTGTATGTTTCCCTAATAAAGCCTTTTAACCCACACACTGTCCCCCCCTGCTAATTCTATGTTCAGTGCAACATGAATGTGTCCAGAGGTCACATAGCAGCTCTGCACATGAGGTGGATCCACGCTAAGTCTGGCAGTTTAGGGGCTGTGTCCGATCGGGTGGAGAGATAAGCTTATGCGGCTCCAGTTACCCACATTGACAGCCTGCCTTTGTTACATTTAACCAAATTTACATAAGGCCCAGTGTTCAACAACTGGGTTATAACACCTGTTGCTGGCTCTAGCACCCCAAAATGGCCCTGGCTGCTCAAGTCCTCAGCCAGGTGTGCTGGGTGCACAACAGCCCACTTGTAAGCCCAAGTCAATGTAGAACGCCATGGCAGGCTGGCCTCCCACATGCCCAGCAAGGTGGTCTTGAGCAGAGTAGCAACGCTGTTTATTGTGGGCTCAACCCTCCAAGAACTGGCGGTACAGCTGCTGCAGCGCTGGGTCCAGATGTTCCCGGAGTCGGAATGGGATCTGAAGGATCTCCAAGAAGCCCTCGGCCAGTGTGGGTGGCTCAAACTGCTTCCTGTGGGATGGGGGGTGTGAGGTGGGGAGGGGGGAGCTCCATACCCTACCACCTCCTGTACCCTTCAGGCCCCTGAACCTGTAACTGAACATGACCATGTCTGACACCGGTGCATGTGAGGGGTCGGTCATCTCGCGGAACTGCAGAAAGAGGCACAGAGGTCAGGGGGCATGGGCTTAGATGAGAGGCCAAGCCTGGAGGGCATGGCTCACCCTGTTGTTGTGGTGAGCCTGCTCCAGCGAAGCGCAGAAGTTGAAGCAGCGACATGGCACACCTGCATCTTTGGCACACTGGATGTACCTGCGGAGGCGGCAAGTGTTGCTGTCACTGCCACCCAGCACTCAGTCCCCACCCCTACCCTCATCCCAGGGTTCCAGTACCTGGCCCTACTTGGGACATCTGGATTGGTGTTATCAATCACAACTTGCTTCCCCTGCCTCAGTGCTGCTTGGCATGAGCTCACACAACGCTGCCATGACCCCAGTGTGTCCTAGGGGACCCAGGACAGGTCATAGTCAGTCTGGAGAGTCCTACCCTGAGAACAGTGCTCCGAGGGGGGCACAGCCCCACTCACCCTGTTTACATGGACGTATCCAGCTGGCAACAGGTGTTCCCGGACGAAGGTGGACTTGCCAGCTGTGGGAGAAGTGTGGCCATCAGCTAGAGTCTAGGACCAAAATGATTGCAGGGGAGCCAGAGATTGATTGGGCTATGGCATCTCACCCCCAGGAAATCCTACTGTGACCACCACCTCTGGTTTGGGGCTGAGGAGGAAGCTGGACTCTGGGGTGTAGAGGGGCCCAGCACTGGAGACTGTCCTCTGGCAGGGGAACAAAAGGGGAGGTGTAAGCCTGGGAACCAAAAAAAAAAAAAAAAAAGCCTCTCACCCTTCTTCTTTAGGGTCTCACCGGGTCAAAAGCTGGAAGCTCAAATCTAGCTGCTGGCCACTTAAGGAAGAACTCCTCTGGAGTGGCAAAGCGCAGGCCAATGTTGAGGGCAAACTGGGGGAGAGACCGGTCCGAAGGATTCAGAGGTGCAGCAGAGGTGGGTGCAGGGGAGGATGGGGGACACGGCTAACCGCCAGGCTTACCAGGCGGTCTGCACAAGAGAAGTCTTTCTTCTTTCTCCCTGGGGCCCAGTTGGGCGGGCGCCCTGCTGCATCTGTAAGGAGGGTGACCCTGTCCACCACTGAGCACAGACAAGGTTCCTGACACCCCCCCAAAAGCCGATCCTCTTACCTCCCACGAAGATACTGTCAGTGATGGAAATGGGCATGCCCTCGTTGGCCTGCAAAGAGAGGCAGTGGGACAGCAGAAGGACTGGCTGTACCCCATACACAAGGACTTTGCGGCTGCATGTCTCGCCTGTTCCCCCAGTGGCCTCCAGAGGGCGCACGAACCACAGCAGTCCTGACTCCCTTGCTCTTGCCACTTGGGTTGTGTCAGTGTCTGCCTTTCTGGATCTGTACCCTTGGGCCACCTCTTCAGCCACCTTCCCATGTCCCTGGTATCTACCAGGCTCTCCCCTCAGCCACGAGCATCTCTGTTCACCTAACACTGCTTTGGACCTCAGGCTAGACCCTGACCCCTGAGTTGCAGCTTCTCAGAAGCTCCTCTGCAGCGACAGAGAGTCGCTTAGAGAGTGCTACTCTCCTAAGTCCAAAGCTGGGATTGACAGATAGATGGCAGGGACCCAGAAGGGCAAAGGAGCAAGGGTCATGAGGGCTGGGCTGGGCTGGGTATGCTCACCTGCTCCTGCAGATGGTCCCACATGCCACTCACTGGCTTTCGGTTTAGACCTGCATGTGTTGCCACCAGCACCTATGGAGGTGGCCAGGTTACACTGTCCTCACAGTGCTTGGGATCTCCAAGGACATTCCTGTCAGCACAACCCCAGCCGAGGCCTCAATTCCATGCCAGTCCCGCACAGCCCCTCAGTGTCTCTTCTGGCTGTACCTGAAATGGGACCCCCAGCTTCTCCAATACAGCCTCCACCTTGGCCTTGAACACCTCTGCTGGCAGCTTCCCTCGCCCAATGCCCATTTGGTTGGTGAAGATTACCAGCTAGGGACAGATAAGGACACACTGGAGCCCCTCACCACAGCTCAGCCTGAACACTATACAAACATGCATGTGTGCATGCAAAGGCCCCACACACAGCCCTCCCCCACAGGCAGCACACCCTGTAGCTCTTGACCTCAGGAGAAGATCCACATCCACATACCTTGTAGCCCTCAGTATCCAGTTCCTGGAGCTTCTTTGGAATCTCCGGATACAGAATCCTACGGTCGGTGGGAAGCAGCAAGTGACTTGTAGTCCAGAGGACTCTGGGTTCCCATCCCAGCCGCTTCCCATGTCCCACCTCACCTCCAGTCACTAGGGCCAGTGGGGAAGACTTTTCCAGAGCGGGTGGTAATGAGAGTCCCATCTAGGTCAAAGGCAGCCACCTGGTATCACCAAAAACAGGGACAGCAGTAGTGTTATCTCTGACCTTCCTCACAGGCTGACCAACACCAGCCCTTTGATACTGGGATCACCCTTAGGAACAGGCAACCATCAGAGAATGCCACGATTGAGGGAGGGAAGACGGCACAATACCATGTTGTTCCTGTGTTCTCTGCTCCCCACTTTCCAGACTTTAATGGGGACCCATGTCCCACCCACCCCCTTCCCCTGAGACTCTCCTGGGAGGATTAACAGTTCAGAAAGAGCAAAGGTCTTTGTTGGAAGAGCTGGAGAGATGACTAAATGGTTAAGTGCACACACATCAGGTGGCTCACAATGCCTGTAACTCCATCTCCAGGGAACCCAGCGCTCTCTGGCTTCTGCAAGCACCTGTGTGCATGTAGTAAACATAAAATCATACAAGTTCACATAAATAAGTGAGTAAAGTTTTAAAAACCAAATTCACGGTTGACTGCGTGCCCAGCCAGGGACTAGAGCCCCCATTTTCTGTGGCCTCATTTCAGAGTGGCCCATAAACACGTCACTGATTCCAGGGCCTGCTATGTATCCTGCCCCTCAGTGGCAGCAGTCACCAATCTCTGCTCACAACAGCGCAGGCTCAGAGACTTTGATAAGACTATTTCAGGGCTGCACAAAAAACTTTGAATTAAATGACATGACTGTGACCTCACCTTGCTACGGGGCTTTACCCCAGATGCTGTGAACACCAGTAACTTCTTTAAGCTCTCCCAGCCAGGGGATGATTTCCGCACCCTCTTTTCCTGAGGCTCAGCATCCTCCCGGTCCACCGAATCCACAGGGGGAGTGCCCGGTGGAGTATCTGGCTGGGATCCCGATGTGCTAACTTCTTCCCAATGCAAGGTTAGGGGGTGTAGGCCATTGACCAGATACAGGGTGTCCCCCAAGCGTAGAGAAGCTGACAACCCTGGCTTCAACTCCTGGATCCCAACAGTTGATGGGTTAAGGCCCAGCTGCAGAAAAGGAGAGCTAGAGTTGGCTCCACCCCTTTAGGAAACAGCCGCCCCCTCACCAAGTCCAATACCCCATTTGGCAAACAGACCCATTCACTTCTTCCCACCAATTCACTTCGTGCTACCAATCAGAACTTTGAAAGGTTACAGGTATTCAGTCTGGCACGGTGGAAATGGGAATAGCTGATCAGCCTTCTGAAGGGCTGTGGTCCACCCTTCCCCCTCCCCCAAGTCCTTGCTGCCCGTTGCTGAGACACTGGTACCTGTTTCACTGTCACTGTCCGGGTCTCAGGGTCTGCAATCAGCTCCACTGAGGGTAAGGGGATGGAGTCAGGGTTTACATCACGTATGGGGACATGGCCAGCTACAGACTACGTATTGCACTTCAGAAGAAGAGGCACTTTCCTCCCACCCCCAACACAGGGCCTCAAGTAGCCCAGAGTGGCCGAGAACTCGCCACACACTGGGGGCTGGCCTTAAACTGATGCTTATGTCTCTACCACTCAAGTGCCTGGATGACGGGTGAACCCGAGGCAGTTTACGCCTCAGTAGGACCGGGACCTACACTCACAGAGGCCAGACCCGGGAATGGCACAGGATAGGATTTTTTTATCTGTAGGGTCGGCTTGCTCCATGAGACATTGAGTAGACCTAGGTCTTGGGCACGGCCTGATACATTCTGCCCAGACACCGTCTCTCTGCTGTGAGCATCCTCCGCCCGGTGATAGTCTCCCGGACCCGCTCTGTCCCTCCCCGAAAGCCCCGTCTAGCTCCTGGTTAGGCACAACCTCCCAAGCAACTCTCGCCGCCGCAGTTTCACTTCTCCCGCGCCCACCTTGATTTCGGGAGCACTTCCGGTCCGTCACCTGGGTCAGGGGTCCCCGACCTAGGACCAGGGCTTGGCCATCCGACGGCAGAAATATAGGGGGCGGTCCCCCGGCCGGGCTCTGCAGCCACAAGCGGCCCCGGCATCCCAGCTGTGACATCCCGGGACGCGGCAAAGTAGAGCAGAGTCGCTGCTCGGAAGCCAGGTATGGTCTGCTACCGGAAGTCCTGCCTTCCCACTAGAGTCGTCCGGAAATCCCGCCCCTTGCCTATGGGCGGGTTCAACGTTTCCCAGGCTACCACAGCAGTTCCGATACGTAGCTAGAGAGGATAGTTTACCATTGGGGTCACTTCTGAATTCATTCCAAAACTCACCACAGTCAGGTCTGACTCCTCCCACAGCGCATGCGCCGCCCCTGATTAGCCTGCAGCTTTATGAGCCCGTGTGGGTAAGGGGCGTTTGGATCCGTGGATACTAGGTCCCTACGCGGGAGTTAACTTGGTTTTGTTTTGTGATAGGGGCTCAGAATGTAGCCATGTTGTTAAAATTCCTTTCTGGGCGTAGTGGCACATTGCCTAATCCCAGCACTGAAGAAGTAGAAGCCGGCCTGGTCTACATAACAAGCTCTGGGTCAGCCAGGACTACAGTGAGACCCTGCCCCCACCCCCGAAAAGTTGCTTTCCAGGTGAAAACCTAAACAATATCTAAGCTCCTCTTAAAAGTCTGAAAGATAAACCGAAATACGATCTCACCAAAGATCATTCCGGGGAAGCAATGAGCTTACTGGGTTTACAGTGAGGGTTACTTCACTGGGGGTGGTGCTAGCCAGTTGTGCAAAGGCCACACTGGGGAGTCTTACCTAGCAGGCATGACATCTTTCCCATACCACACAGGATAGCCTTTCCCCCTACTTCCTCGCCTGTATCCTCTAGCCCCTGCCTAAGCCACAGGCAATTCGGGCAGAAGTGCCTACATCTGTTTGTGAGAACAGCAAGGCACTCAAGGTCTCCTGACCTTCTTTGCCTCCTCCTCCTTCTCTGAGTGAAATCTGCTGTCAACAAGCCCAACTGGGCTTATCTTTCAGCCCAGACGAACTATCTGATGTGGATATTAGTCCACTACAACACCCTAGCTAACCCCAAACTTGCAGAGATCTTACCTGCCTTTGCTATCGAAATATTGGTATTAAAAGCAAGTGCTACAGCTGGGCGGTTGTGGCTCCTGCTTTTAATCTCAGCATTGGAAGGCAGAGGCAAACAGATCTCCGAGTCCAGGGTCAGCCTGGTCTACAGTGCTAGCTCCTGGACGGAAACACAGAGAAACCTTCAGGAAAAACAAAACCGAAATAAGCCAGTGCCATCACACCTTGTCATTGATGGTTTCTTTCCTTTCATATGGTGTTTGGTCGTGGCTACAGTGTTGTTGGGTTCATGCGGGTCGATGGAAAGAAAACACCTCAAGAATGAATTTAGACTTTTTCAGCTTACCTTAAGAATGAATTTAGCCTTTTTCAGCTTACCTTAAGAATGAACTTAGACTTTTTCAGCTGTAGGGTGGTGGTGGTCGTGTGTGTGTGATGTGTGTGATCTCTATAGCCCTGGCTACCCTGGAACTCGCTCTACATACCTCCTGCCTCTGCCTCCCCAGTGCTGGGATTAAAGGCGTATACCAGCACGCCTGGCTGTTTTGTCCTTTGAGGCAGGGTCTCTAGAAATCTAGGTTGACATTAACTAACTCCTATGCCTCCTAAATCCATCTCCTTGTTGCTGGAATGATATATGTGCATAGAAATGGCCCTCTACACTCCTCTGGCAGACAGCGCAAAGCCGGCATTTGTCCCTAGTATTTGAAGCTCATGGCTTCACCACACTCTTCCTTTGCTTCGATGATGCTAAATTCTCTGCTGCAAAATGGAAAAATCACGTCTACCTCCTGGGACAAAAGGCAGAGACAGGCAGATCTCTATGAGTTCAAGGCCAGCCTATCCTACAGAGCTACACAAAGAGCTAGGGCTACACAAAGAAACCCGGTCTTGGGAAAAACTAAACAACAAAAGGGAGGCGATCCATGTGACTAATGTGAAGGTGACAAATTCCCCCCGCCCGTTTTACCTACGGTCTACTTCTCTACTCACTCCCACCGTTACGTTCCCGAAAACCACATTTCCACCGTAACCGCCCGGGAATGCTCTGAAACAGCGTCCCACACACTATACACCACGTACTCACTAGCCAGAGGTAAAACTTTAATTTCAGAGCGTCCCTCCCGACCCCCGGCCCCCACCCCTCCCCCGCACCCAGGGCCAGGGCCGGAGAGTGAGGTCCCCTACCTTGAGTGGGAGAGGGCCCTTTAAGGCACCTGTTGGGGTGGGGGTGGGGACAGGAAGCTGGTACCACCCTGGGTATAGGACAGACTTTGATGGACAGGCTGTCGTTGGGGTGAAACTTATGGGGGCGTCAGACGCAGAGCGGGACAGGACCATCCCGTGGGGTACCGAATACAAGTGTCAGGATTCGGGTCAAAACAACAAAAGAAAAAACAGCCCTAGTAGTGTATCAAACTCAAGGCCTCGGGCCAATTCTGGGTTCGGGAGGGCTTGGCCACGCCCCCTGGAGGCCAGGGCCAATCGGGTGGGGGATTCAAGAAGGGCGGCGCGCGACTCTCCGGACACTGGCGGAGCCATCGCCAGGTCCCGCAGATGGGCTCCGTGCTTGGGCAGCGAGCCAAGGATGCGCGGGTAAAGCTTCTGTTGCTAGGCAAGAGACGGAGTTGACCCACTGAGTGTTTTAGAACTAGCCCGGCTCCAAACCGGAGCGAGCCAATCCCGTAAAGAATCGTCCTGTTGCTGGGCAGAGAAGGCTCATGGCTCATAGACCAATGGCGACAGTGGCCTTCCGCCGGCCTCAGCCCGCTGGGCGTTTTGCCCGCTCAGTATTTCCGCTTCAGCTTCTGGAAGTCGCTGGTGTTGAGTCGCGGCCGCGGCAGGTCCCCGAAGACCTGGGTGTCTTCGGCCTCCCGCAGCACCAGTGCCCGCATACTGGCGGCGATCCGGTCCAGGTCGGGAGAGGAGGGCTGTGGAGGGAGGAAACCTCAGTGCACAGGCGCCGCCTCCCGGATGTCCTCCCGCCCGCCCGATTGCCCACTAGGAACCTGAACGTTCCTGCCCCGCCCCACTCCTGGCTCTGACCAGGAGTAGGGGTTCAGGTGCCAAGGTGCTTGGCTGCTTCTCAGCCAGGACAGCAGGTCTCCGCCCCCCTTCCCCCAGATCCGGGTGTCAACCGGGACCTGGCCAGGGAAAGCTGGGGAAAGTCATATAACTTTCCTCTCAGTGTTCCCCCCACCCCAACCCTTCAGCGTTTTCTGTGAAGGTTGGTCCAGGCCAGCGCTGCCTGAAGGAACCGCATCCAGGATGGTGTTGGGGAAAGGAATCCTGCGAGACAATCTGATCCTCCTTCCCTCAAAAACGATTCTGAACAGACAAGGGGCCTTCCTCCTAAACTACAGGATGTCCTGGGATGGAGAAGGGAGCCTCGCTAGCCAAGGCCAGGGGCTCCCTGCAGCAGACCACTCTGGGCCTCATTCCCCCCTCACCGGGCCATTTTCCTCATCTGAAGATCGCGCCTCTGTCCTCTTCTCCTTGAAGGCCCACACTGGCACCGACACAGGCAGGGACTTGGCGTACTGCTGGGTGGGCAGGGCTGCGGCCGGGGGCTTGGGGCAGGCTGGGGGACCAGCGGGGGTCTCCTCACTCAGGCTGCCGTCTGTGACAGAGGGAGGCTTCAGCTTCTGTACCCCTACCCTCGGCCTGGCCTCCTAGGGCTTGAACAACCCAGGATCCTCACCATCTGTGCTCTCCGGGTCTGACTCGCAGAAGGGGGGCAGGTCTTGGAGAGTGGCGTCCTCATCCATCATGAAGAGTCCTGTGGGTAAGACAGGCCCTGCAATTGGTCCCTGGGCCTCAACCCTCTTCATCTGCTTGTCTGCTCACTCAGCCACTGCTGGCTTCAACATGAAACCTGTTAAGATCTGCTTGGGACAATGTCACCCAAAATAGTTCCAAAAAAAAGATGGTCTTGTGGGGACAAATCAAAGACCCTGTGGCCAAACCACTTGCCTATAGTTTCAAAGAGCTGATGCTAGATCACCTGGCTCCAGAGTCTATATCCTTCATGACAGGAGGAGGTGACTAGCCGTGGGCAAAGCTCGGAGAAACACCCAACTTTCCGACCCTCCTCCAACAGCTGCCCAAAGTGGGATTCCATGAGAACTGGAAAATGCTGCCTGAGGCTCACCACACAATGCTGCGGAGCACCTGGAACCCTGATCCTGGCTGCCTCAGCTGTGACAGTACACCATTCCCTGCAAACTTCTCTACCTCCCATGCATGGGGCAGAAGCCCCTACCCTTTCTTTCCAGAGACAACTGCATCTCTTAGAGAACCATGCTCCAGTTCCTTAGTCAGACCAGAAGCAGTCAAGGAACACGTGTTTGCTCAGCATACTGTGTTATGTGCTGTTGGACCTTGTGTGAGGCTGCTAGGGAATGCTTTAATGCCCTCCTAAGGATGCATTAGGACAAGTGTCCAGAAACCAGCAACCCCAGCCCAGCACCAACTCCCGTCCCCCAGCTCACCTCCATTATCGCTACCGCCCAGCCGCTCCCCAGAAGTCTCTGTCTCAGTAGGCTCATCCTCATCTTCCTCATCATCCTCCCTGGCCAGGGCTGGCCGAGGCGGAGGGCTAGGAGCAGGGCTGGGCGGCTGTGGTGCTGGTGGGGGACCAGGTCGGGTGGCGGTGGCAGCCCTGTGTGCCTGTGCGATGTCGTGGAGGCAGCGGCGTGCAGCTTCTGCCAAGGCCCCACGGCCATGGGCGGCATAGGCACAGGGCCCTGGGCGGGGTGGTGGTGGTGGCGCTGCAGTCAGCAACACCAGCTCTGTGCCAGTGCGGGCCCGGAAGCGCTCGGCGGCCCCCACAACGGCCTCCCACAGTTCCTCTGGCCGCCCAGACGCCATCCGCGCCCTGTGGGCCAGAGCAGGACAGAGGGACTGAGGCTGTGCCATCACTACCCATCCTGAGGGCCGAGGCCCCAATGTGACTCCCCTTCCATGGCATGCACCCCTCAGCTAAGCTCCACCCCTTTCCCAGACCTGCTTCCCCGGACCCGTACTAGCCACCGTTACTTCCAGCTCTAGGTTTCATCCTGCTCCACACAGGAGCCATTCCAAAGTCCTAAGTCTTCATCTGCGTTGGCCATGAGCGCTGTAGCCAGATTGGTCTGCGGTTATTTCAGCTTGGGGTCTTCCTATTTTTTGCGACAGGGTCTCAAGTACTCCTGTCACTATATGGTTACAGATAACCTTTAACTCCTGACTCCCATGCGTCCAGCTCATGAGGGCTGGGGTTACATATGCTCACCACCACACCTGGTTTATGTGGGGCTGGGAACTGAACCCAAGACTTACTGAGTGCTGGCAAGAACCAACTCAGCCGCATCAAGGCCTGTCTGGTTGTAAGCTAGGACCGACATGTAGCCCTAGCGACTCTCCTTCCTCCACTACCGGAGTAAGTGGGATTTGAGGTGTGAAGCACACACACCCAGCCTGTGTCTTTGAAGACTTACATGGATTTCATGTGCACCTTGTCCTCGGTGTGTTGGGTGTTAAAGCACATGTGAGCCAGGCATGGGAGGCATACAACTGAAATCACAACACTCAGAGGCTGAAGCAAAACTGCCATGGCTTTGCGGTCACCCTTGGTCACAGAGGCCGGGCTCAATGAAAACCACAGGTAATTTGCACCCTGGCCACTGCTAGGCCTCCATCCTTCACTTGGTCCAGCAGGTCCTCCACTACTGTGGAACTCTGCCCTCCACAGTTTCCAGGACCAGATGGACTGCACACTCAGCTCACTGGCCTTCAGGTCACTGCCAACCTTACACTTAGCTGGTGAGGAAGACAGTCCCTCCCTGGGTCACCCCAGTCCACCTGCTGGGCTTTCAGGGTCACTCTCTTAGGACAGGGCTGAGCTCTGGCTGAATGTGGGGGAAGGAGGGCGCAAGCTGCTCAGGGCTTTTCCAGGTCCTCAGCCCCTGCTGACAGCTACATCGCTGCCTATCTCCTGGCTCCTGTGGTGGGACTATGGACCACGGTGTCTCTTTCCACACACCAGGGTGTGTGGTAGCCAAAGCCCCTGCTTGACAGGCAGTGCAAACCTGAGCCCCGAAGGGATCCCAGCGCATCAGGACCACAGTAAAGAGCAGAATCTGAAATCTGGTTGCAGTTTGCAAACTGTCGTGCACACTCAACAGATTCACCCTGTCACCTTCCACCTGCCTCCCCAAGGTGGGGCTGCTCACATGCTGGACCAGAATGCGATGGCCATTCCTAAGCAACCTCTCACTTCCTATGACATGAAGAGTAGTGGTCGCTCCACTTTCGGGTCTTAAGCTCCAAATCAGGAAGACCAGACCTTGACTGTCCCACCAGCTGAACTGGCCACTGACAAGGACAGTCTGTCCAGAGCCCTTTGCCAATCCTGAGTTCTACCCTGCCTACTTCAAGACACTAAACTTCGCATCCCAACTTTCCACTGAAAAGGAGAAAGCTGCAGACACTTGCCACAGACACAGAAATGAGCTGTTGTGGTTTGATAGTGCTGTTTTTGGACTTCAAAGTCCCAGCCAAAGCTTTAGGAGCCACCCAAAGACTCCTACTCACATCACACACCCTCCCTAGCTGAGAAAGGAGGCTGGAAACATAAGGCTAAGGCTCAGGGCGAGAAAGTGACTGGTCCAAAAGATGGCACGACCTGTATGCTATTAGCCTGGGTCCTCACTTCTCTGAGGAGAGAGCAAATGACGACAGGACCCAGCTACTAGCAGCAGCAGTGTGAAAACAGGCTGACTGGCTTCCGAAGGCGGCTCAAAGGAGGGCGACTTACTCGGACCTCCTAGGCCTGTGGTCTCCTATGAGGTGAGAGTCAGGGACAGACCAGCCAGGGGGAGCTATCCAGCGGGAAAGTGCAGGCCTCCTAGGACAGGTGTGACGGGAGATAGGGAAGGAAACGGCTGCAGCACGGGACGCAGAGCGGGGGGTCCCAGGGGGATCCTACCACCGAAGGCTGCGGCCCGGGGCTGAACCACGCCCGCGTACCAGCGAGGCCCCTACTCTAGGAAGAAAACAAGAAGTCCCGCCCCCGGCAGGGATCTGACCGGAAGTCCCGCCCATGGGCGCCCCCTCACCCACCAGTGGACCCCCCAAAACACAACCGCATGGACTTGGTTCGCCGCCAATGTGAAAGTCCCAGCCCGTTTGCAACACCGAGGTGAAGCTTGTCTAGCATTCGTCGCGAGTCAGACACGAGGGATTGAGCGTTAGCCATTTCAGCACTCAGCCAAGGGTCTCAAGGTGATCACTGCCTCCTGACCTACGCACACTGTACCCTTCCCATGGCCGCACGCCTTCCCATGGCCCCTCAACCTAAGGAAAGCCAGATCCTCCCCAAACCCCAGCTCACAACGCCGCCTCCACTCACGTGCCCGTAGCCAGCATGGCCGGCCAGGCGCCGTCGCCGCCCTCAAAAGGCATGGCGGCTTCTTGCATCACTTCCGTGTAGCTGCCCCGCCTCCATTGTGTACACTCCGCCTCCCTTATCCTGGATGCCCCAAATCAAAATAGCAACCAGAAGCTTCATCTGCAAGCAGTGAGCAATGACAGCGGCAGAGTGCCTATGGAAAAGACTGTAAGACTTCAGCTACACCATTTCGATTTGCCCGCAACAAATACGGCTGCATGCCCACGCTCACACAGGACAATAAGCGAAGGCAAGCGGCCTGACGTCCCTCGGTTCGTAATCAACTTGTAACACAGAAGTGGAGGAAAACGGCTCCTGTTCCGTCGTGCTAGTCAGTACGGCTTCATATGCCAATAGTGCATATGGACTCTCCCTCCGTCCAGCCTACCCGCTTCCTCCCACCCCTGCTCTTTAGCACAAAGCTGGCAAAGATTCAACATGGCAGCATTTCTAGCTTCGGTTTGCCCAGTTTAAAAATGGTGGCGCAGCTCTCTTTCCACGGCGACTCAGGAATTTGGGGCAACTTCGTTTCCAGGAGCCTGACTGCTTGACCCCTTATCCCGAGCCCCTCCGCGCCTCTGATACTACACAGCTCCTCTCACCTTTTCCTGTCTCTGTTCCGCTTTCCCAACACCTCGCCGTCCCGCCCCACAAAGAGATGGTAGTGCCCCGCATTAACATGGCTTCCACCGAGCCGCTATGGCTTGCCCTCGAGGAAAATGGCACAATGTTGGCTTCGATGCCAGTATAAAATATGGAGAGAGCCAAGGAGGCGTTCCTTGGCGGTCACGAGTTGTTGGGTAGCGATCACGGGTCCGTCTACTTGTTTACTTCGTGGCGAGAGTGGTTCACTGCGCCTGCGCCGTCTCGTTGCCCCGAACAAGAGTGTTGTCTACACCACGTGACCCGACTCTTGACGTTTCAGCTACCCTGTTCAGACAGATGGTTTCACCCATTGCAGCTCTACAGCTTCAGGGGCGCAACCACTGTCTGGCCTGGAAGGGAGGGTTCCTTCCGGATGTGACACCTCATTGACCCGGAAAGGGAGGAGATTGGGGCAGTGGAACCTCCGCGGTAGCTATGGAAGGATCCAGCTACAGGGTAAGACTTCGGGACTCATTCCCTCGCTGGTCTAAGGCGACACCCCTTTCCCCCGCGATGGTCTGCTTCCACCTTCCGCTGTGCAGGGACTAGGCAGAGCTAATTTAGAAAGCACTGATTCTTGGTAAAGACGCTGTCACTCCACGGCCGATAGGGAGCTCTGTTTTAGCCCCTCCCCGAGCGCGGGCGGGCCTGTGAACTTGGCACGCCCCATCCTGGCTGGTCTGTCTGTGTCTTTGGACCCCGCCCCTGGGAGGGCGCCTTCCTAGACCCTGGTTCTCACCACGCCCGCCCCTAGGTGGTGTTTGAGAAGGGAGGCGTGTATCTGCACACTAGCGCCAGGAAGCACCAGGACCCGGACTCTCTCATCGCGGGCGTCATCCGTGTGGTGGAGAAGGTGACATCTGGGGAACTTCGGGTTGGTGGTTGAGGGCAGTCGGGCGACTTTACTAAGTCCTCACCCACGTCCCTCAGGACAGTGACGTCCTCCTGCACTGGGCTCCGGTGGAGGAGGCTGGAGACCCGACGCAGATCGTCTTCTCCAAGAAGGTAGGCGCCCCGCTTCTCTTCACCACTCAAGGTGAAGGCAGGGGTTACTCGGGAACCTGCGAGTGTGTTTGCTTTGTGAAACGACCTGATATCCTGTCCTCTTGGCTGCTTGGGGAACCCTGTTGGGTGAAAGCCTGGGTTCCCATTTCTTTAGGGGTGTGGCCTGGGTTTGGTGTGAGGCCACACCTCCGCTCTTTTCCCTGTGCTCTAGTTTCACCTAGTTGCTTTACATTTGTAACATTTGGTGTTTATTTACATGCGTGGGTGTGTGGCAGTCGGAGGATAACCTTCCTCCCCCGCGCGGGTCCCAGGGGTTGACGCAGGCTGTCAGATTTCACAGCAGTCTGAACCAGCTCACTAGCCTGGTGATTTAGTTTGTGAGGTGGGTGGGTGCGGTGTGAGTGTATGGGCATGCGTGTGCACTCTCCATGGGTGCATGCAGAAGCCAGAAGATGGCAGTGCAGATCCATGCTGGAAACTGGTTTTTGTGATTGTGGAAGCCTGTGAAGCACTAAACTCTTTCGCTTTGTTTCCTTACTCATGTACGTACTACTCGGAGGAGTCATCCTTCCTCCCTGTGGGTTCTGCGGACTGAACTCAGGTCCTCCATCTCACATGCCAAGCCACCTGGCTGGTGCTGCTCTACAGTGTCCCTTTTCTGTCCATCACGGAACTGTCATAGCAGTGCCCCCAGTAGACTCACAGTGGCAGTGGCCATCACTTACAGTGAAAAGTCAAAAGGCCATGAGAGGCTTCTTGGCCAGAGTGCAGAGCAGGCCTCTGTCCTTGTCACTGAAATCTGGACTGTTGGTGCTGTGGCCTCAGGTGTAGCCATGAATCTAGGATTCTAGCCTGACTCTTCCTCAGCCACCATGGGTGACACCAAGCAAGCTTTCTGCCCCTCCTGCCTGTTGTACCCTTGTTCTAAAGGGTTGCTGTCTCTGGGGCTTCCAGCTGTAAGCTGGGGACATTTGCGAGCACAGCTCTTTATTCCCTATCCTTCTCTCAAGGACCCAAGTGGAGGGGAGCCCAGTGCCTCCGAGGAGGAGCCCACCTTTGACCCCGGCTATGAACCTGACTGGGCTGTCATCAGCACAGTGCGGCCACGGCCCCACCTGGCAGAGCCCAGGAGAGGTGAGTGAAGCTGTACCGCAGCGATCTGCCATATCATGGTTCCAAAGGCTTTTCACCCACAGTCAAGGTGGTTTCCAGATGCTTCCTCTCTGGCCTACGAAAGAATGGCTTGGTTCTAGGTGTACCCATGAATTCTCCTGAGGGTTTTTAGGCTTGTGGGTTGTGGAAAACCTGACAGGCAGCTAATCACAGGGTAATTTCTTCTTCTTCTTCTTCTTCTTCTTCTTCTTCTTCTTCTTCTTCTT